AGCCTGAAATCTTTCTGCCTGTTGATTTACTGCATATGTTGAGATCAACAACAAAGTGTACCAATGTAAAATAGGAATATTTAAATATCTGAATTTATTGTAAGCATTACGTTTTACTGAATTACAGTGAGGTTTTGTTGAACTGTATTTCCTCCTGCCATGTGACATATTATATCCATTGTAAAAAAATCGTGTACGGCAGGATCTTAATTCAATGACGATGACTTACATATTCCAGTCAGAATGTATTTATTTTTTTAAAAATTTGTTGAGGTATGTAATCTGTCTCAGCTACAGTTGGTTTGACATAAGCTGACATGATTTCTATTGGCCAATATTTAGTTGCTTCTGAGAAGCAAGTCCATAGGTATACTCTCACCAAAGAATTACAATACTGATGTTAAAGTTGCAGTTCACTCGAATAAAATTATACCGGTCATGAAAATTGGAATCTGACAGTATTGACTATTAATGTTACCTGAGGTAAAAATAATGATTTGACTAAAACTGGAACAGTTGCCATCTGTCTAAATTTTAGCTCTGAACCAAATTCCAACAAATCTGGGAGTAAACCATAAGTCTAATACAACACTGATATGTAACAAGCACAAAGTGAACATAAATTTTAAAAAATTCCTTAAAACACAATGATTCTACATTTTTATCAATGCATAATGCTAAAATTCTGGAAACAAATAAACTACTGCCAAAGTTTCAAATCCCACCCCAACCTTTATGTTAATGTTTTCACCACATAGACTAAAAGCAATACTGCCCTACACAATGCAGCACTACCTCAATAAAACACCCTTCATTATAACACATCTGACTTGCATAGACAGCTTACAATGAGGGAGTGATGTATTAAAATATCACCATATATACTCATTTATAAGCCAAGTTAAGCAAACTGCACAGACCCAGATTTGGCATCCCAAAAAGCACCAGCAGATAAGCATCTGTGCAGTTTGGTAGCAGTAATTAGTAGAACAAACAACATTGACCCTGATCGGCACGAACATTATGCTATGGCAGATCAGGATATTTGGTTTCAGTTTGACTTGACTTATAAGCGAGTAAAGATGGTACATATGGAGTGCCTGGAATCATTAATGATTGGGACAACTACATCACTGAGAGTAACCAGAGAGGCATAATTAATGGGATGATTACAAGCTTCTAAAGACCAGTGATATCTGTGAAACTGAATACCATGTTCACTCATCTTCATATCATAGAAAAGCATGTATGTGTAGATAAATGCCATCTGACCAATGGGAACACCCTTGCATTTCAATTCTGATGACCTTACTTTCACATAACTATTCCAGGTTTGAAAAATCTTGGATTAATTTCAATTAAGTTTTTTTTAAAAAAAAAAGTTTAAAGATTCAAGATCCAGCATTTTATTTTTTTATGCCATATCTCAAAGACCTAACCCTAAAACTGTCGACTCTAGATTTATCATGATGCTTCTGGGTTTCAGCAAACAGGGTTTGCAAGTTCTGGGCTGAATCAGAATTAAATGCGCTGTGATTCCTTAAAACATTTTTATATTATAAATGTACAACCAATCTACAAAAGAGTATTTAATGTCTTTCAAATGAAGTTGATGGTTGCTTTAAGTTTTAAACTACTATATGTATTCGCTTATGAGATGAGTCCAACTGCAAACTACACAGATCCAGATATGATGTTGCCAAAAGATCTTTTGTTTTTGCAGTTTGTTAGAAATATTCACTAGAATAAACAACATTGACCCTGGTCAGAAAGGAGCATTATGCTTCGACCTATTGGGGTCATTATTATTTTCAGTTTGACTTGACTTATAAGTGTGTATATACAGTACTACCAAAGTCCATTCCCTTATCTCACTTAACTGCTTCTGTGATGAACATCTTTTCCATCCTATCCACCCCCATTTCTTCTATCAAAACTGACAACCTAATGTATGCTACTTCACTTCTAGAGATAGCTATACCATCTTTAACATTTCATTATTGTATGTAATAAAATTCTTTATGATGTTTAACTTGAACCCTGGAAATGTTTTTAATGTCTGACTGCATCTAACACTTGCAGCATCCTTATTTAATGTATTCTTTATTCTATGACTCAAAAACATTAGCTTAAAATACTTAATATGAAAATGAAACTCAAGAGTCTCCATCGGAATATCTGAGATAGAAATATTAGGCAGCCATTACATATTAATGGATTTGTAGGGCCAGATAAATCTATTAGCAGATTTTGTTGTTATTCCAGAAGTGAATTTTGTTCAAGGTAAAAATTTTCAAATAAAATCCTTTCGAAAGAAAAAGTGAGACATTATTATTATTATTATTATTATTATTATTATTATTATTATTATTATTATTATTATTATTATTATTATGACTTTATTTAAAGAGGGTAACACAATTAGCTAAGAAGTTAGCTACCTTGAGGCCATCATTCATAGAAAATTTACTTATTTTTGCTGCATCTCTGAAGCCACTTGATATACTGGGTTTGGAAAAATGTAATATAGTGGGCATTTCTAATGTCAACTGGAATAATATTCCAGAGCATTGGAAACTTTTTTGTTAAATAATTCCTGGTTAACATTGTGGATTTGATTTCCAAAATGGGCAAAGGTTAAAATCCAACCATTGGATCAGACCATGTTGACAACCCTGGTGTGTCCTTAAGCAAGGAACACTTTAAAACAAAATCAGCACCAAGGATAAGGAACCAAAACAACTCATTGATTAGCATGCAGACTTAATTCCAAAATGGGTGAAAGTTAAAATCCAATAATTGGTATCAACCCAGATTGTGTGTTGTAAAGCACAGAACATTATTATTCTAAAAGCCTTGTAATTGTCCTGTTATGCCATGAAACAGTTAGCTGGCAAGGAAGTTATGGTATCTTTTACTGGGTTCTGTACAGCATCAGAAGATCAGAAATAAGCAAGTGTACTTGATTACTGGGCCATCTGACTGGATTTGTTGTCAACAGTTGTGTGAAGTTGTTGATTGACAAATCTGTCAACTGGCCAGATGTGTTGTAATGAATGGTTCTGCTTGTCAGATACCATCAGTATCACTTGGAAATATATTGGCAAAGGATAGCAATAAAATGCAAACATGGGCCTTCCTGGTTATAATTATATGATGAAATATAGAGATGTATGTAAATGAGAAAAAAAAGTTTAATTAATAAAATTAACAGGAAATAATTGATGATACTGAACAAATAAGTAAGTATCCTGTGTAATATTAGTTTATAAATCATTTTTAATTTATTCAATATGTCCACTGTCAGAACAAGCATTTGATTTTGTTGGTGTGATTAGACCTGATGAAAGCCAGATTGGACAGGATGTCTACATGTCTACCCTTTGTTTCTTAAATTTCTTAATTTATGAGACCAATTTAAATATTGTTCTGCTATTTATTGAGCCATACAACTGGAATGTGTTACAAGACAAGGTCACCATGCAGGGATGAATTGTACTGTTACAAGACAAGATTGCTATGCATGGATTAATTGTTGTTGTTCTGAGGCTTAACATTTTTCAACCATGATAGGCTATACATGGTGGCCAGTATTAATGGTGGAGGAAGAAACAGGGAAATCACAGATCCATGAGAAGCTACTTGCAAACTTTATCACATATCTACATTCACTGAATCTTAGACTCAAACCCACACTGACAGAGGTGAGATGGCAGTGATTCATAATGGAGATCGATTTTGACCACTGGCCACCACTGGCTGAATTGTACTGTTACAAGACAAGATCCTATGCATGGATGAAGTGTACTGTTACACAGCATGGTCACCAAGCATGGATGAAGTGTACTGTTACAAGACAAGATCCTATGCATGGATGAAGTGTACTGTTACACAGCATGGTCACCAAGCATGGATGAAGTGTACTGTTACAAGACAAGATGCTATGCATGGATGAAGTGTACTGTTACACAGCATGGTCACCAAACATGGATGAAGTGTACTGTTACAAGACAAGATCCTATGAATGGATGAAGTGTACTGTTACACAGCATGGTCACCAAGCATGGATGAAGTGTACTGTTACACAGCATGGTCACCAAGCAAGGATGAAGTGTACTGTTACAAGACAAGATCCTATGAATGGATGAAGTGTACTGTTACACAACATGGTCACCAAGCATGGATGAAGTGTACTGTTACACAGCATGGTCACCAAGCAAGGATGAAGTGTACTGTTACAAGACAAGATTGCTATGCATGGATGAAGTGTACTGTTACACAGCATGGTCACCAAGCATGGATGAAGTGTACTGTTACACAGCATGGTCACCAAGCAAGAATGAATTGTACTGTTACAAGACAAAATGCTATGCATGGATGAAGTGAACTGTTACAGGACAAGGTCACCATGCATGGATATAGTGTACTGTTAAGAGTCAAGGTTACCATACATGGATGAATGTATTGTGTTATAAGACAAAGTCACCTTATACTGATAAATTGTACTGTATTACGAACAAGGTCACTTTGTACTGATGAAGTTTATTGTGTTACAAACATGGTCAACTTGTACTGATGGAGCATTGTGTGTTATGAACAAGGTGACCTTGAACTGATGAAGAATATTGTGTTATTAACAAGGTGACCATGTAGTGATGATGTGTATTGTGTTATAAACAAGGTCATCTTGTACTGATGAAGTGAACTGTCTTATAAACAAGATCAACTTATAATGTACCAGCAGATCTGGGTCTCTGCAGTTTATTAGGATGTGATGTGATTATGAGTTTTAATAATTTTTCAGTCATAGTGCTACAATGTCTGCAGTGTGGCAGTTTATAGTGATGTCTAGCACTGGGGCATCATGCCTCAGACATATAGCATGATGTCCCACCCAGTCACATTATCCTGACACCTGGCCGACCAATCCTAACACTAACCTCTTAATGCTGAGCGCCAAGCAAGAAAGCTGTTAGTACCATTATTGTAAGTCTTTGGTATGACTTGACCAGGGATCGAACCCACGACCTCCCACATTCAAGGACGACGCTCTAACCACTAGGCCACTGGAGCGGTCCCAGTTTATTAGGAGCAATCAGTATAACAAACAACATAAACCCTGATCTTTATATGAAGGCATATCTGGGTCTAAGTTTGTTTGCAGTTGTTTATGACTTGTAAGTGAATAACATGATATGTTATATGAGGGATTGATATATAATACAATGTTTTATTATTAAAGAACATTGCTAAGCAATCCAATAGTCTTTATTCTTGTAAACATAATTATATTTTAGGACCAGTCCATCTCAGATAATGGGATGGCAGGCATATCATTCTAATCAAATTGATCACCATTGGTTTTTATTTTGCTCATTTTTCACGCCACTCCAAAAATGAGATGAGCTACACAAAACTTAACCAAGAAAAACATTTTCTGTATGATTTTTCAGATTAATTTTAAGTCGTAACTATCTTTCATGTATCAGTGGAGCAGTTTCATGAGTATGAGGCAGTGATATATTAAGATGTTGTTTCCTTTCATTTCTCTCATGAAATACCAATTTTGTGGATTTCATGATTGCTCCAAAATCACAAATTTAATGAAAAATTAGCCATGATACATTTCAAGTGATCAACAAAGCTCAGCTTTTTGATAATTCATTAAATTGTAATACTATAATAAAATATTATTTTATATGTGTTTACTTTATTGAAACCCTTTTTTATAACAAAGTTATTTAGCATTTTGTTTCATTGCAAATGTATGTATGCAGTATCTGGTAGCTACCAGTTTTGTTGACTGTGAGATCAGTAAAAATAGAGAAAAATAACAAAAAGTGTGAATTTTTTCAATAAAAGTAAAATCAAAAATTAAAGGGAAGAAAATGAAACAAAAGAGGAAAATTGGATTTAATGCTTATTTTACAATGACTGTACAGGCATAGTTAAGTGAACTCATTTTACTCTGTAATTCTCTGTTATTATAGATTTATCCATAGTTGTAATTCTCTGAATGTACAATCTACATAAAGCATCAATAAATGTAACCATTTATATTTCTAATTAAAAAAGTACACTTTCCTGTTAAAATTAAAAAAATTAAATATTCATCAAAGTACATCTCCTTTTATCCATGCATATATAAAAATATATATACAAATTTTGAAAGAAGCAAATTCCTGAATTTAAGAACCCACAAGATTTTTCAAAACCTTTGAAATAATACCCTCTCACAAGAAAAAAAAATGAAACCAGTGTTATGAGTGCCTAAATAAATATACAGCACTTAATAAGATATATATGGCACTATAGGGGTTTTCAGCAGCAAAGTACACTAGACCCCTGATGATGATGGGAGGGATTTTACAGGCTGAGTACCTGCCTATGAATGCTGGTTTATTGGTTGGAGTGATGGCAGAGTAAGGTGGACCATACAACTGACATGAACAGAGATGCAGATAATATGTCAAATGAGTAAAATATTTATCATTTTCAAATTTAAGAAATAAAGAAAAATTATCTATCAATGCAGGTTATTCTTCTTAGACCTGCACAATCACGATCTGCATTGCACAATGAGCTGGTAGATCAGGGTATATGTTGTTTTCTTTTTTCTACTCATTTCTTATAACAGAGATAGACCCACATATCCTGGTGTTTTTTATGACAGCATATCTGGAATTATACTATGTACAGCTGGACTCATAAATGAATATATATGGTTGGTGGTAGTAAAAAAATCTGTATATTGTACTTCTTTATGTAATGGCCTCATGAGAAGGTGGTATACACTATCTTTCCCATGTACATGTACTTCACTATAATCTATTCTCCCTATCTGGCAATATACTTTGATTCCCATGGATGTCTTTATAATGAGACAGTACTATATCATGTATTTCATTATAAGATGGAATCATCATGATGCAATATGGTTCCCATGCAGAGCACTGTAATGAGGGAATACTCAACTAGGCACTTCATTAAAAGGCAGCATACTGTATAGCGCCCAAGGACAGCATACTAATGAGAAAGTCCTGTAAAATGTACTTCATTATAAGGCAGCATACTGTATGGTGCCCAAGGACAACTAATGAGAAAGTCCTGTATAATGTATTTCATTATAAGGCAGCATACTGTATGGTGCCCAAGGACAACTAATGAGAAAGTCCTGTATAATGTATTTCATTATAAGGCAGCATACTGTATGGTGCCCAAGGACAACTAATGAGAAAGTCCTGTATAATGTACTTCATTATAAGGCAGTATACTGTATGGCTTCCATAGAAAACATTATCATAAGTGATTTATTCACAATTTATCACAGGCTGACAGCTGGCTTGAGGAAGCTACTAATGTCATTGATTTTGTTACTTAAAGGATGTTGTTTTTTTTCGGGGGGGGATGGTTGTTGGTGAAATGTTAAATGAATAAATTAATAATACAAGTAGGCTTCATACTGTTCACTCAGTAACATGCAAAGTTACTAAGGACTGAGAGAAAAATGCACACACACACATACACACACACACACACATACACACACACACACAGAACCAGACAGACTGAGACAGAGAAGCAGGCCTAATTAAGGATTTACTAGAAAAGCAGGCCTAATTAAGGATTTACTATAAATGGTACCATGGAGGATTAGAGTTGTGTTTATGAGGTACACCAGGGAGGTCTGCCACCATTTGATAGTGATCTACTGCAAAGAACCACTGGCATCCAATGAAATTCAAGAGAACTGGACATTACCATTATTTTCCAAAATTAGTCTGAGACTGACCTTGATCAAGATTCAGTAGTAAAAATATAAGAGGTTTTACCGAGGCTTCTTTGAAGATAAGATCTAGATGTGAACATGGGTTTGGGTCCATTGGGCTGTTGAGGTCAGCGTAGGGGCAGTAGTAGTTTTATGGCTATCTAAACTGCAGCAAAGAAGATTAATTATTTTAGTATTCTGTTTCTATGCACTAGATTTCTTTCTTTTTTATAACCTAGCTTCATGTATCTGAATCCAATTCAAAATAGTTGTCAAATACAAATGAAAAACTTAAGAAGTGATTCAATTTGACACTAGCAACAATTACACTGATATTTATTTTCACTCAGCACAGTCCAACCACTATACACATATTAACAAATACCGGTGCACAATTCTGCCTTTTATGAACATGTGACCTTTATATAAAGATTAGCAGTAAACAATTTTTTATAAGCAGGTGTCTTTTAAATACAGGTGTTTACTAAGTCAAGTTTGATGATTTTTGATTTCTCTATTTTTTTCATGATTTAGTTTTAAGAAAAGTAAAAAGGTTTGACTTTGTCTTCGTTGTAATAAAAAGTAATTGTTGTTCTATGCCATATTGCCCAAGGAGGTTTAAGGACCTTTTGTCAGAACAATACTACTCCAAATGCCTCTGCATGAAATAACCTTTAATGTACTGATGTTTGTAAACACAAATTAATCAACTGCCATAACACATTATATAAATTCAATATCATACTTGTAAAATTCAACCTCATGAACATAGTGAGCATGACCAACCACAATGACCTACACACAAACTTAAAGGTGAGATGGACAGACAGATGTACAAAGTAACACTAAATATCCTTCCAACAATGGGGGGGAGGGGCCAGAAAAATATGTCATTATCACTATGTTTCAACCAGATCTTATCAGTCAAAACACTTCAGTACCTTACTCCAGTGGGCCATCTGGTACCAATTTATCTCTTAGAAACTAATTGGAATTGTACCCTAACTACATGGATTCTTTTAGGATGATAAAAGAATATTACAAAAATGTACACCATACAGGGGTTCTGGGTTTCTGCTAAATATGATGTCTTTCAAACAGCTTATTGATGTAATGTAACTTTAAAAAGTTGTATACATATAAATCTTGTAAAATTCTTTACGACAATTAATCTCTTGCTACTGCCAATTTTATCTCACACTATGCTAGAAAAATTATTCATGTTTTCTATTTTCACAAAAAGTGTGTTTGTATGTGTCTGTGTGTGTGTACAAAAATGGACCAGCTTCTGAAAACTTCAAGATCTTTCATTTCGTCCACCCTCAATTTGCTGAAGGTATAAAGAATAAAAAAAGCAAAATAATAATCATGATCAACTCATGTAAAATCTCATGATGCAGACAACTATATTACTGAGTTATGTAAAAAGTATGATCAATAAGAAATTTGGAAGTCTTATTACTGCATTTAATGAAGTTTGAGTAATGTGCTCATAGCATCTACTAATTGGATAAATTTCATGAGGTTAAAGCTCGTTACTACAAGTGCACACCATCAAAATAAAAACAAATCTTGCTATCATGTGTATATGCATTCTCGAAGAGTAAGGTTCTTTAATGCTGGAGCTCTTCACTGAAAAGGTCTATTCTCTCACCCAACATGGTTGTGCTAAACAAAGTACAAATTATAAGATCCATTTTTGATACATACTTTACCAACAAAGCAGAGTTGTAATGAGACTGGATGCTAAGTTCCAGAATGAGAAAAATGTGCAAAATTCAATTTACCAGCCACTTCCCTCCCCATGAGATGTACACTTAGCAAGATTAGATATATTCGAGAGTTCTGACCCAAAATAGAGGGGCCTGTACTTGTTTATACATGTGTGATATTCTGTTCAATACAGAGCTGTTAACTTTTTTCAAAAGAAATACATCCACACACCTGGATAACAAACTTTGTGAATTGCTTCCACCTATGGGCACACACACATATTAGCATAGAGGAAGGGGGCACTGCCCACCCCCTTGGATTTCACCTCTAAACATGTATTGGCCTACATCCATTAAACTTAATAGTTGACCACTATATGTATGCCCATCTCTACCACCTGAAAATAATTCTGCAGGTGCCCCTGTTCATTAATTGAGTTATGTATTGGCTTGTTTAAGAATAAGCATAAATAAACAAAGTCTCTTATACTTGTTGGGTTTATTTCTATTCATATATCATAATTATTCTGCCAAGAATACTTTGTGGATGGAGATATTTTCACCACCCACATAACCTGTTACTGAAA